TTTAATATATAAATATATTTATTGTGATGTAATTTATAAATATTTCTTAAAAAATTTCATAATGTTATCTTTTAAGGTATTATTTTAATATTGGACTTAGAACTTTTGACTGTTCCAATAAGTTTTATAGCCATTAATATTAGTAAATTAAATAATGCTAACAAAAGCCCAAAACAAAATCAAATCAATACTAATGCTAACAAAAAATATTCAATTCAATAGTCAATACTATGAACGAGAATGTATTGAATATTTATTTTTTGTTTTGCAATAATTTAGATAAAAATACATAACCTATTTTTATCTTTTCTTTAACGTTTAGTCATGTAATTAATACTCCCTTATTAGTCTACTTACTTTAGCATAACTTAGCACTTTTAGATTACGTTTATTTTTATTATGGTTTTTTAATTAGCAATATTCTTATTACATAATTTTATTGTCTTTATTATTGAATATTTTAGGATAATGCCATGACACATCTATAGTTGTATCTTACAAGGATTAAAGAAATATTTGAGTACAAGTTATATATTTTGTTCTAAGAAAATTTTACCGGAAAAAAAAAACGAAAATCTGAGAAAACCCGAGATTGAAAAACCCAGTTCTATTGGTTTGGTTTGGTCTTTAAATTTAATAACCCGACACAATTGATTTGGTTTGGTAATCGTAAAATCCGAACCAACCCAACCTATATACACCCCACAGGATCTATATTTGCAAAACTTAAAAAAAAAGGGACAAAATTTAAACAACGGCCCTCAAAAAGGCCACATAGTGAAGTAATTACAGTTGGAATTTTCTGCAGTCAGTAGCCCAGAATAGCAAACATGTGGGTGTGCACACTGTGCTACTCATTATGTCAATGTGAATATTAGTACCACTAGGCTAAGAGATATTTTTTTTAAGAAAAGTAAACAATGAAAATGGACGGCTATTTGTGCAAAGATCCCATTGGAATATACATAAACTGTTATGGCATTAGTACAAACACAACTTTGTTTCTCTATTAGGATTAAAATCTTTCCAAAAAGGATAGATCACACACCAAGGGATCCTTTTTATGAGGAATTAACTTAAGTAGCTGCCTATATAAGCGCTTAAACTTAAATAGTTGGCGGATGTGTAATGCATGTATAATATGTGTACAATTATTGTATAATCTATGTATACTGGCTAGAAAAAGTAAATAGTGAATTCGACCAGCTATTTTTTTCTGGAACCTCAAGAGCTTACTAGTAATTATCGCCATCTCATACAAAACTCAGCAATGCCTACCAGGGGCGGATCCACCTCCCGACCTACGGGTTCACGTGAACCCAGTAAGTTTTGTCCAAATAGTATAAATATGTTTGGAAAAATTACTAAATATCTATAAATGTTTGAATGTGAACCCAGTTTGATGGATTGTTATATGCAGCGGAAGCAATCCCAGTATCAAAATCACATGTAATTTAGACAACTAGCATAAACGGGATTTCACGGGTTACCTCTTGAAGCGTGAACATATCTCTTCTACCACGTGAGCCTTCAGTTCCATAACTTCTCAATGGAATCTCCATCACCAGCACAATCGTGATCCTCGAACGTTCCACGGTCTTCTACTGTGTTACCCAAATAATACCCGAAAATAGCAATTTCGTGTGGGCGAAATTTCTAGGAAAACTTGGCTGAAAATTTCAGCCACCATGTACTCATCCCTCTAGGTGGAAAACCTTATGTATTTATAGCACAAGTTTTAAGGGTTAAGACCCTTTTCCAAAACCTGTTAGGTTTTCTTTTCCACCAGAAAAAGGATTCCTTTATTTCCTATTATTTAGGCACAGTAGGGACCACAGAATTTAATTAACAAGGCTTCCAATTATGGAATTAATTTGTAATTTTCGAAATTAATATCCACCATAATTAATTACGAATTATTCCACTAAAAATTCGTAATTACACTCCTTATTCAATTTCGAAATTCATCCATTAAATCTTATTTAACTCCCCATGTTAAGATTCAGATACGAATCAATTAAATTAAATTACTGACGATTTAATTTATTGATTATTTCCTTTAGACTTTCGCTTAACTTATTTCATGTGTCGGATACAAAATCCACCGGCCGGGTTTACACATGAAAACTTATAAGCTTTCATAAAGGNGTTACTATCGAAAATTTATTCGAGCTCGTTACAGGAACCCATAAGCATTAAATTCTGAATCCGCCTCTGATGTCTGCCCAATTTCAGAGCCCTAGTAGCTCCATCAATGGTTGACGAAGTACATACCCATTTTTACTTGCAATATTACGCAGCCAATATCAATAAGCACTTGAGTTTTCCTCAATACATTGATAGCATTGTTAATGTTAACTTAACAATACAATCAAACCTCTCTATAATAGCATTCTTATATAACATCATTTCACTATAAAAGTCAAATTTTTCCGCAACCAAATTATATGTTCTGTTATACTATATGTTTTCTACAACAATTCACTATAACATCAAAAAATATTCGCAACAAACGAGACTGTTGTAGAAAGGTTTGACTGTAATTCAGCGGAGTATGACAACCAAAAACAACAGATTATACTCCTCAGTAGAGGAGGCACTTCACACCAAGGGATTTGTTCCTTATCTTAAAGTCAATTACAATCACACCCTACTTAAAGCAGCATTTGTAAAAGGAAAATTGTTACAATTTGTAATAAAATACATTCAGATTGTACAGCCATCACCTAATCAACATTCTCAATTCACTAGACCTGAGCTACTAGTGGAGCAAAACAAAGATCTTGAATCCAAATATAGTGAGAAGACCTCATATCGTCGTTAAGTTATATTCCAAAATGCACACATTGGTACAGAGGAAAAAGCAATCTGCTATTCAAATGTGATCAAAGCCTTAATGTCAGATCTGGTGTCAATTCATCTTTTTCGACTGAGGGAGTCCATTCTAGAGATGTCATATTTGAACATCCAGCAAAAGCAAAAGTAGGATGATGAGAGACATCAAAGTTAGTTACTTGGCGAAAACTACCAGGCCATAATAACTGATCAGCCTCGTCGATATCCTCCACGTATAATGGAGGAGTCTGTTGCTGTCCATATTCAAATCTCGCGCTTGTTCTGAAATCAAGTGAACTCATTGTTGGTGGAAATCCGTGGGGGTGCACTGAAGAATGCGCTTTGATTCCTAAGGACCGCGCACTAGGCACCCCGTGCAATGACAGAGCAGCCAAATTAGCATACCTTTGATCCGAAAAGATTCCCATTCTCATAGCTCGTTTAGCTAACGTTCTTTCTCGTTTATGTGCATTCTGATGACCGCCAAGAGCCTGTGAACTGTAGAATTTCCGCTTACAGAAATTGCAAGTGAAAACTCGTCTAACTGCTGTTTCTCCTCCTGAATTTTGTGTTGCAGGTTCATTGCTGCTTTCACACGTGCTGGATACTGAAAATCCTATCGAATCTTGGCTGGCAAATTCGTCGATACTAGATTTAAAGCTGAGAGACAAGTCAAGTGACAGATGTTCTGAACTTAATTGAGAAAACTCAATGTTAGACGCGACCTGACTTGTGATATCAGAATCAATTCCAGATGAGACTTGTACTTCAATGTCAAATTTTGATGTTTCCATCTTATGAAGAGACCAAATTTACAGAATTTAGTGATCAATATCAAGAACTAACCAAAACCAATGGACTACATCTGCATTATGAACATCGCCCTGCATGTGACAAGAAAAAAAGGGTCGACTGAGTTTTTTTATAACATAAACATATCAGTTTGAGAAAGAAAATCCAATCAATGCAACAAACAAATCTTGAAAAATACTATATTGGGAGTCATTCTTAGTAGTCAGACAGAAACTTCACAATATTGCAGATAGCTGAAACTCAATTTAGTGTAAAAAAATTCTTTGTAACCTTTGCCTAAGAGTAACTAGTAAAGTTGTTGTCGTGTGACCAGGAGGTCACGGGTTCAAATCGTGGAAACAAGCTCTTGCAGAAATGCAAGGTAAGGCTGCGTACAATAAACACTTGTGGTCCGGTACTTCCCCGTACCCCGCACATAGCGCGAGCTTAGTGCACCGGGCTTCTCTTTGCCTAGGACAAATTGTTACTTCATCTCACTACATATCTTCACCATAATTTTAGAAAACTACCAATATACTAAAATTGAATATAAATGGTTTAACTTTAATGTACATATTTGACATTTTTGGCAACAGCATTCATTCTTCATTGAGTCCAGTACTTGTTTATCCTAGTGATGGATGAAATAATAAGAAATAGCATACATGATAAATCAAGATGTAACATGTCGAATTCAATTAAATAGGATGCCTAAGATAGAGGAGAGTTATAGGAGTGTTATGCGATTGGAAAATACATTAAAAAGTTAAAGGCAAGTTCTATAGAACGATTGTGAGATCGGTAATGTTTAGGAGTAAATGTTGAGCATCAAAAGCTCAACATATCTACAAGATGGTTGTTTTAAAAATGTGAACGTTAAGATGGGCGTGGATTGAACAAGACTGGATAAGATCAGAAATGATAAAATGAGAAAATAGTACAAGTAGCAGACATAGAGGATAAAATAGAAGAAAATCGTCTCACATGTCTTGGCCGTATCCTACATAGACCTCGAAATGAACTAATCCAAAGGTGCGATAATATGATGATTGGAGATGTTAAAAAGGGACGAGGTACATTAAAGATCACATGGAAGGAAGTTATCTTAATCTGAAACTAAAACTTAGTTGAGTGGTAAACACATGAACATGGTTAAACTTCAGTTGCCATCAAGTTCTACCATTGAATGGGGAATTGCAAGATCCAAATTAGAAGAAAAATTGACAAAAAAAGAAGGGCAGCTTGGTGCACTAAGCTCCCGCTATGTGCGGGGTTCGGAAAAGGGCCGGACCATAAGGGTCTATTGTACGTAGAGGCTGTTTCCACGGCTTGAACCCGTGGACTAACATTGACTAACATCTATATTTTTCTAATTTCTTTTGAACACGAAATCCATGATCTGTGCAAACAAAGCTCTTTTGATCACCCTTGGACAAGTAGCTAAGTATACCAATAAGAGACATTTGAGTGATTCGACATAGTCTCATACCGGGTGTTTATACCGACCTAATAAATACATGACACATGTCTTTACAAATTATATTTACAGTCTCATACATATATAAGGTAGAATGGTGGAAGAGAAAGCTCATCTAGCAATCAAGAAAGCAATTTTATCGACTTTTACTTCTATTATTTATGACTCTCAGTAAAATTGAAAGCCTAAGAAAAATAAGAACAACTGAATTCCTGTTGCAAAAATGAGACAAGATAATAAGTTATGGAGTTTGTCTTTTTTAATTTTATAATTTACTCATATCTTGGACATAAAATTCAATTATACTCGAAATTAAGAACATATTGTATAACTTCCAATTTGCGACGTACAAGACATATATATTCTTGCACAAAATCTAGTCTCTCTCTCTCAAGCTGAATATATAGATTGTATTGTTATGATCAAAGTTCAAGATTGAAGAAAATAGAAAAGAAATAAAAAAGTAACATAAAACAGTCGTTGAAACTTTTCATCAAATACAGATTTTAATTTCTTTTATGAACTTAACCTAGGCACGTAGTATTTATTTGAAGAAAAGGAGAGACTATTCCTTCTAATAACAAAAACACTTCAAGATTTAAAACACAAGAATGCATAAGCATAAGCTAGTAGATATTTGTTTCACCCAAAAAAAAAAAAAAAAAAAAAAAAAACAAAAACAAAAT